CACCAGTCTCTTCTGCTACCTCTAAGACTTCAGTAAAGTTTTATTCAGTGTTTTAGCCTGGCTTCGTTGTGCACGGACACATTCAGTGAAGAGCCTGTGTCCGGCTGGGAGCAAAGTTACTGAGAGTAAGAAACGCCTAAGGAAAGCTATTTTCCTGGCATGGAGAAGTGCTCTTCTAAACAACAGGGGTCTAGAGCCAGACGGCTGGCAGAGCAAACACCAGGAGGGATTTGTAGAGCATGTAAGCATTCCTCGAGGATTTCCAGAAAATACTTGGGGAGGGAGAGCTGGTAAAAGACTGAACTTCCTGTAGCCAAGTAAGCTGGAAGAATAAAAGTATGGCTATTTCAGAATTAGAGCTGGAACGTTCAGGGTTGCAAGAGAAAATTAAAATTAAATCTGGGAAGTATGTGCTTTGGGAGAGTCAGCGCTTTTTGACTCTGCTGGACCCAAGAAGAGCCTACAATGTGTAACTTAATCTTGGTAAAGCTGTCCCAGTAATACTGGAGCCATGTGAGGGGAGAGCCTTGGCCAGACAATAAGAGCGGTTCCTCAGCCTCTGCTCACTGCGGAACAGAGCATCCTCCCCTGGAAAAGTGGTCCCTTGTATGATGCAAGGCAGAGGGCAGAGGTCGTGCCTCAGATGGCGCAGTGGCGTGGAAGCCCAGTCACATGATCTGAGACGTGCAGTTAGAAAATCTGGGAGAAGGTGGTGGGCAAATGTCAGTTGCTATTTTTATTGGCTGAAAGAGGATAAAATGGGCAGGGATGGTCTGTCTCCAATGACTCTTAATTCTAAGCCAAACATTTAAGTGGCCCCAAATTATGTTCTGGAAGAAGACCAGGCATAAGGAGATAAACTCCATTTTCTTGCCCAGGTCTCTATCTTTCCTGTTGTTCCTTGAGCCCAGCAGCCCACCAGCTGAGAGCCACTGAACTGTGAGAGCTGCCTGTTCACCCCACACTTTTTTGCTGGAGCCAGCTGAGAAAGTCAAGGTCCCCCTTTGGACAGAGGTCACTCCAAGGAATGACCCTGAGCAAACACTGTCCGTTCTGTGCCTGCTGCCGTTTCTTTAGCCAAGTGGAGAACAAGGCCGTGGGTCTTCTCCGCCTGGGCTGGGCTCAGCCGGCACCCAAATCCCAGCTGGTTCCTGTGCATTCGAGGTCCCAGAGGAAATCGACTGATGAGTGAAGCTGAGTAGGTCTCAAACCATCCCCGCACTGGGCACCCCCAGTCATGGCTGAAGAAGCAGGTTGGGGAGAAGGAAAAGGAACGTGGCAGCGGGATGCAGGAGAGAATTTGAGTCCTCGCTTTGGAACTCACTGGTGGGGCAGATAAGCAGCCTCCATCTCAGTCTCTAAAGTGAGGACAGGGCTGTCTGGCTTACCAACATCGTAGGAGGGCCACGAGAGTCACACCACTCAGACAGCAGGAAAGTTTGAAGACTCTACAGAGTCTTCTTCCAGATAAAGCGTTCTGAACCTTTATGATGATTTGGTTACCTGTATATCAATGGGGCGATTGCAGATTTTTCCTGGGTAAGCCGCTCGGAGGTCTGAAATTTTCTCCCCACCTTTAGTGTAAGACACTTTGTCATGTTCAAACCATTCTGTCCACTCCACATCTGGGTGGAAAGCAAAGAGCAGGGTCAGTCAGGCGGGCTCCGGGGAGCCCGCCACACTCCGTGCAGCTCCCACACACCCGCTGCGCAACGGGGTTGAACACCAGCCATGCAGGCTCGCACCGGGGGCCTGTAAACAATCTGTCAACTCCCCCATTTCTCCCAGCTCTTAATTAAAAATGCCTCTTATTGTCTATCTTGTTTTATAAAAGCAATAGATAATCTTCACGATTGCCCAAAGGAGAAAGATGAAATCCACCGGTTAACCCATCATCCGAGGATTTCGGTGAGGATTGCAGCTTGCCGCTGCCCCCACCCCCACCCCCACCACGCGTGTGCTCCTGGAAGGCCAGGTCCTGCTCCAGGGTTCCCTGTTCAGTGCCATCGCTTGGTGCAGAAAACGTATTCCAAGAGGTTAGATATCCCTCTGGGCTATTCACCACTGAGACTGGATTAATTAAAGACAGCTTTCAGCTGCAAACTGAATCGAAGCTGCAGCAGTCAAGGAGTTCTACTGATGCAGAAGAAAAATCCTCATTCTGCAAAGGTAATGAGTCCTGTCCTTTTGCACCACTGTTAAGGTTTACCGAGTTGTCCCAAACTCCTCACCTTGAACCCACTCGCTGGATGAAGAGACATTGAAATGCTCGCCATGCTCTGTCTGGAAGAGCTTGAACACCCGGGCAGCAGCGGAGCCACGGTGTCCTGTCAAAGGAACCAGAGGCTTTAGCAACCAAACAGACCCTCTAAATTCAGAGGGATGTGATTCTAAGACAGCGAAATCCCCCTACACATGTGGATCTTGAGCCATTTCTTAAAAATACAAAGTTTCAGGCCAGTCTTTCCACTTGGGGAGCAGATTATTGATCACTCCTTCTAACTGAAATGTTCCCCCAACTCTGAATTTTGGAACCCTATCACTTCTCGTGTGAACCCCTCCCCACGGTTAGAGCCGGCAGGACCTTCCGAAACCTTCTCTGGGCAGAGGAGGCTGGCGCCGTGTGGTACAGCCCATCCAAAGCATCTTTTTAGCTCAAAATATTACCCCTGCTTGTTCCGTCCCAATTCTCATCTTTCCTAGGTCACTTGTTTTGGATTAAGCCAATGACAATTTCTTTGAAAATGTAAATATTATCTCAGTAACTGGCCTTAAATCAGTATGGATTTTTGCCACGCATGTAACATGGGAGGTGGGTTCTAAAGGAGGAAGGTGGTTCAGAAAGACCTTGAGCCTCTTGGTCAGAGAGACACGGCAGGGGATCCGGCCTCTCGCCATGTATTACCGTGATATTCAATGTGGTCTTCAACGGAAGACGAGGGATTCCCTTTCACGGTGATGAAACTCCAAGGGTGTCTGAAAAAAACAACAGAAAGTCAAGTTCTTCGCACGTCTGAGCCTGGAATGGAGGCAGAGTTGAAACAGGGAGCCACATGGATGCTGTCTGAGGGAAACTCGCTTACGGGCTGGGTTTCCCTTTTCCAGAAGAACAAGGGCCTTTCTCTGCAAGCCCTGGCCTTCTTGACCACCTGGCGGGCTTGATGTTTGTGGACTGCAGGGCTCTGCACCTCCGTTCTGGCAGTGGACAGGGGTTATGAATCACAAATAAACAAACGAGCCCACAGACCTGCATACCACCTGCCAGGCTCAACTAGGTCCTGAAGCGAGTGCTCTGGCTCCTTTACGAAAACAAGGAAACATGCTCCGAGGGAGAAAGGTTATTCCTCTCCTGTGTGACTCCCTGAGAACTAAGCTCGAGGAAAATGCCAGAGGCGGGTGTGACTGAGGCCCCAGGAATCAGCACTGGGCCTTGGGGTGGAAAGAGGTACCTCTTCTTCTTAATGGAAGGCAAAGGAGGGGAAAAAAAGGTATATGGGTTTGGAAAGTTGTACAACTTCTCTTTTCTCCACTGAAGATACATCTGCTCAACAATCACTTCCTGTATGAATGAGCAAGTGGTAGGTCCAAGTCTCAGATTTTCCACTGATTTTAGACGCCTCGAGTTTGTCACTCAGAGTGGGTCTACACCAATGAGGGTGCACGTGTAACCCGCCCGTGCACTACGGCATGCATCCTTCCCGGGCCCTTGCTTATAAGGAGAGAATAGTTGCTAGCACTTCTTGAGTCCTTATTCTGTGCCAGACACAATATTTTGTTCATACTGTCACATTTACCCTCCCCAAAGTCCTTTGAGGTGGCTCCTGAAGTACCCCATTTTACAGATGCAGGTACCATGCAAAGAGAGGGTAAGTCACTTGCCTGCAGTCACACCTCATAGGAAGTGCAGCCCAGACTCCAATTCGAGCCAAATCAGATGCCAGATCTTGGACCTTCCTCCGCTGAGGCCCTACGTAGCCAGTCCCACTGTGGTTCTACCTCTCATTGCAAATTAACAAGCTGGCCTTTCGGCTTATAAAAAATGAAATGGCAGTGCCCTCAGTTTCTGTTAACAAAGGAGCTTTGCTGTTATCTTTGGCAGCCTGAGTTTCCTGCCCAAACTCATCCAGAAGGAGCAGCCCCTGACCTGTCAGGAAATGCACCCTGGAACCCGGAGCCCCACCCTGGCCCAGGGGATCCTGGCCCAGCCAGTAAAATTGCTCTGCTCAGAGCCCAGAAAAGGCTCTGGCCTGCCCTCATCTTGCCCACGATTCGAGGAGCTGATGGGAGGGGCATCCATATCTCCAATAGCCACGGGCCAGATGATCTCAATTTTCCACTGGGCTCAGATCTGATACAACATGATCGAAAGGTGTGGCTACTGTGGGGTAAACTGTTTCCTCTTGGCGCCAATGTGTGTGTGCATGCCAAAGTCAGGCATGACTCTGCAATCCGAGGCAAACAAAACACACCCTAGAGCACATCGAATGGTCCCCTCCGCTAGGGAGCTGGGCAGGGCAGGGGCCCTTCATGCGATCTCTAAACAAAGGTCTGCCAACCCTCAAGGCACATTATGATTCCGTGGCCAAAGGATGGGAAAATGAACACTAGTTATACATCTGAGGCATGGCTCTTACACACAGTAGGTGCTCAATTAATATTTTGCAAGTGGCAGACTGAATGAATGAGTTCAGATACACAGTGACTTTCGGAGTTTAAAGTGTGGAATATGCTTGTAAGAATAAACAGGCTCCCTTTAAGAACAAGCCCTAATACATCCCAGGCAGATGGATCATGGCCCTGCATCTCCCTGAGTCACCATTAAAGGGGATGTGGCCTGGGGAAACGAGGAGGGAAGTTAGGTAACTTCTGCCTGGGGTGGTGTTGCTTCGTGTTCTGGAGCCTGGGGGAGGGGAAGTGATGGGTGGTACCTAAATCCAAGGTGTAGGAAGTGTTTGCTGCCCAGTTTGGTCATCGCCTTCCTGGCCATGTCATCCAGGTTTCGAGAGCCCTCATCATTCACGGCCACAGACAGGATCCTGCCCTCGGGCACCGCATTCAAATACTGGACCAGACGTTCACTCTCTTTCTTGGATCTATAGGTGTCAAACCTAAAAAGGGCAGAGAGAGCAGATTTTAATAGTCCTAGCAGGACCCAAAAGAGAGAGCTTGAAGCACCTACCCGTGGTTTGACGACTAACACACCATCCGATCATCCCAAAGACTGATTTTTTTTTAAAGAAAGAAGCTTTTATTACAGCAAAACAAATCAATCATCTCAGACTTGACAAAGATAACCCACCCTTACATACATAAAATATCCATGAAATATAGGTCTCAAAAAAATCTATACCACAGGTGACAAGAATTCACAAAGGAAAGGCCCAACTGTGTAATGATCCTAACTCCAAGTATAAAGTACACGTATTAGGTGTAAAGATTTTGTACAATCACAATGGAAACTCCAAAAGAATTTGTCTTGGAACTTAACGAGCAAAATCATTCTCAAACGGATCTAGACGAATAACCCAGCACGAATAGCCAAGATTTGGGAAAAAGAAAACCATGGTGGTGTGGGGAGGGGGGGGAGATGGACGGATGCTCGTGAGTCCCCAGACTTCCTTTTCATTGTTGACATAACCTGGTCCGGCCCCGCCTAGGCCCCCTCCTTCTCCACGGCCCCTCCCCAGGAATTGCCTGCTGCCAGCCTCGCATGTGTCAGGGCCCTGTGACCACACCAGGTACCCCCTCCCAGGCATCTCTTGCCTAGACCGTGCAGAAGCCTCCTGACCACCTCTGCTAGCTTTACTTCTCCACTCTGTACACAGCAGCGAGAATATTCTTTTAAATCAGATCTTCTTAAAAGCCCTTCACCGGCTTTGCATCCCACTAAGAATAAAACCCACCCCCTCACCGCGGCCTTTAAGGCCCCAAACGTGCCCCTGTCCAAAACACCGACATGACTGTGTCTCGTTTCCTTGGCTCTGCATTCTCCACCTCTCCGCTGGCCCTTCTGTCCTTTGAGAACAGCACGCCCTTTCTCACCTCTGGCCCTCTGCACTTGCTGCTCTCTGGCCTGCACACTCCTCGCCCCACGGTTCTCAGCTCAAACGTTGCTTGCTTTCACAGGCCTTCTCTGATCACCTGTTGCAGAACAATCTCCCCTAGCTACTCTCCATCATTTCACTATGACTTTTTTCCCTAATTACCGATGATCACAGCCTGAAACTATGTTGTGTGTACAAGTGTGCATGTGTGCGCGCACGTGTCTGTTCCTGTTCAACTCAGCTGCATGAGGCGAACGCCCCGGCAATGAGAGACCTAACTCCCTGAGGTTGGGGATTTCTGTCTGTTTCACTCACTGCCGTGCTCCCAGCACCCTGAGTGGCATCTGGCTAGGACACACCCTCAGCAAATGCAGACTGAATGACTGTGTTTACATGAAGGCAAACCTTACCGGTCAGAATGGATGACTGTCCCTGATTTGGGGTCGATGACATGAACAATGACTCCACGGTGACCCCAGCTCCTTTCAAAAAAATAGCCTCCCTCCTCCATGCCACCCGGGTGAAGAGTCTTGTTCAGAAATGTCCAAGAGAGCTTCTTCTGTCCATGCAGCTCCAGGGTACCTCCTCTGTCGACGCCAATGTACTTGAGGCCAAAGTAAGGGTCCGGCTGAACACCTTCGTCGGCCCTACAAGAGAAAACAGCTCTCCACAGTCGGTCGACACCTCTCTCTGTCGGATGCTGAACCCAGAGGGGGCTGCACTGCTCCCTGACTCCCATGTGGTCCCCGTGGAGCCAGGCACACTTGGTGACTGTGCAAGGTCGGTAGAAATAGCACAAGCAACCAAGATCTTCCCAAGCCAGAGCAAAACGAGCCCAACAGGCCAAGCAGAAATCCTATCAATAGTTAACATGTTGGCTTCAGTTCTTCAGTTCTTTGCAGTTCTAAGTATGTTATGTTTCGGTCCGTATCAGATGT